AATAAAAAGAAAAAATTTACATTTCAAATAAAATTGTTACTCTCTCTTTCCTTTAAAAAAACTACTAAGCACCCATACATAGTATCTTTCTGATGAAAAATGAACGAATATGCACAACTTTGTGAAATCGGTAAAAACCGGCCGGTCCAACTCACCCAACCGGTCCAGTACGGCACCGGACCGGTTACAACTCTGATCCACAACCATTTCCGACGCAAAAACAAATATTTTTTATGCATCACAGAAGCGAACAAGCAAGTCCTTTCTGTAATTTTCACTACTGAACACATCATCATTCTAATGTATCACACGTTTATAGACAATAAATGCTGATAGAGATGTTAGTCACGACGTCTACTTTAAAACCAACGTACGTATTTTAACTTGCCACCGTCATCCTCTGATCAAATTCTTTTCTCATCACACTGTTCCGATTCAGCTCAGCTAATATCTCAAAATAGCAGCTGAAAAGCTCGAACAAAATATTTCTATAGAAGCCTGTTTTGTAAAACTGTATTCACTTCAAAGAATCAGTTTTTTCGATGCCATCTGTAAAGCGTATTTTACTTCGAACTGTAAAATGTAGACAATTACTAGCAGTACTATGCCTTTTTTCGCGGATTGAAGAAGCAAGTGCAACAAGTTGTTTAGGTTCTATTTCGAATTTGATCGAAAGGCATCCGGAATGAAAAAAAAAATTTAACTTCAAGACGCGTTGAGTTTCTAGTTTCTCCTCAGAGTTAATATGTGTAAAAAAAATGGTTGCGTAATGTCAGTGGGCTTGCTAGAAAATTAAAAATAAAGTTAAATCTTCTTTTATTTTTTATACTCCTCGATCAAATCTGAAATATAATCGAAATACCTTTTTATTGCATCTGGTATCTCAGATAAAAAATGAATTTTTATTTTGTTTTAACTGAACTAACACGTAGAAATGTGAATAAAAAGGTTCTTTTATTTTATAATAACTTGAATTAAACATGGTTTTTTCGTGCAATTATATAAAATATCCTAAAGTCATTCAATATTTGTTTTCAAGTGCTCTTTTCATAATCTTCTCAAGTTTGATTACTTATTGCTTTGGTTATCATCTATAATCCTTCCCTTAACTTTAAATGCCGATATATTGTTCCATGTAAAAAATTAAACAGGTCAATTAAACAAATAGTTTTTGCATAATTTTTCAAAAATAACCATACATAGTTGAAAATTATGCCTAATTCACAGGACCCTATGCGTAAAAGAGTCTTGTGTGTAGTTATACATGGGACTTTTTTTATCCATAAGAAAATCATCCTATGCATAGCCCGTGTGTTTCCATTGATTACCAGACATTTGGGTGCAACGACACTTGGGCGCAACGACATTTGGGCGCATGTACAACAAAGGCATTCAGTAAGAGTGCATTTGTTAAAGTATGATGTATGACGATAAAATTTTCTTCAAACAAACTTGGTCACGCTCACCTACACTCACACCCTCCCTGGCGCCTTTGAATCTCAACTGTCAGTGCGCCCAGATGTCGTTGCACCCAAATGTCAGTATACCCTTTCCGTTACCAAAATGCTACTCATCCTATTCATAATAAAATCTAGATTGTAACGGCAATTATGCATAGTTAAACTGATTTATTATATAAAACTATGTGCATAGGGCCTGTTTGGTTTTTTACATGGGCTGTTTCTCTGTTAGATGCAAATACGTCTCATATGAATATAGGACTTTAAGGGATAATTGAAGCTGACATTAGTATCACATCACTTTTTTTTAAGTTTACATTACAATAACGTGCTGGAATATAAACTAAAGTATTCTCTACAAAACGCGACCTCTTCCGACTCTCAATACTGTTTCCTTGCGGAAATATGAATTTTTTAACATTTTTCACTAAAAGCTAGAATTTGCCGTCATTTCGCTTTTAGAATTGTCTAATGATTTTCATAGCAACCAAGTGAAATGAAAAATCGGATTTTCTAGAAATTCGGGCTACTCTATTTTTTTCTTGTGATAATTGCACAGCAATGAATGTAACAGAAACAGTATGTTTATAGAAACAGCAAACAAAAAAATACAGTATACGTAAAAAATGTGTTTTGTTATAACGAATAAGTAATGATCCCATACGAGAAATATTTTCTAATGTTTTTAATAACATCAACTATTTATAACTAAACAAGATTATTTATCGTATCGAAAAAATCTTACTTTCTACGTTTATAATCATCGAGAGTGATCTAACATAAGATGTACATCCGACTTTATGAAAATCATCTTAGTTTAGTTTATTTTGCTGTATAGTGAGAGGATTACAAGAAAAAGTGTAACATCTCTAAGACAGTATAGATATGAGAAAAGAAGGCAAGAGCAGCAGTAACAAAAACGAAAGAAAACAGTAATCAATAAAAAAAGAAATACTTTTACGCAAGCTCTGTGAATCGAAGAAGATAGTAAAGAGGTGAATTACAATTTCAAATGTTTAACAAATGTATTATACGTTTAAATGTTTAAACTGTATTATACCAAATAATTTTTGACTGTTTCGCCTATCTAGAACCTATTCTAGAGATTCAATTCCTCTCTGTATAGAAAATTTATAATAGAGATGTAGTAATACTATACCAGTATACTTCAAAATTACATTCATTTTATCCCTACAGAACGTCGTTAATTTCTTTGCATAAATTTTACTACTGTCTTTTTTCAAGATGTACAATTTTTTATCCTCAAACACTGCTCGATAGCGATCAACTGAAAATGAAAACTTACTTTGTGAAAAATAGAATAAAAATGAAAATCAGTCTCATGAGATCAGCTAAGAATGACTGAGTATCAAATTCTCAAACGATGAATCGGTCGATTTTTTCGGACTCTATTAGAAAAAATATTTAATTAAAATTTTCTTGTAATTATACTATTTAGCTGACTAATATATTTTTATTTGATATCAGCTTCTAATAATTTCGAGATACAATTCGAAAGAGGCAGTTATATTAAGATTCAATGTTCATTATGTCTTAAAACTATTACGCAATGGCTAAATCACTTCTAAAAATCAGTCGAACATACTTTCTTCTACCGTTTAATCATCAATAAAAAAATTTCAATATAACACATGATTTTGATTCTTCCTGTAATTGACTGTCTTGTTCGTAAACTACTTTTTCTAACAAATATAAAAAAAAAAAAAAATTTTTTTCTCCTATATAAATAAAAATTCAGTGGTGTTTGTTGTTATTCTTTTATTATTAACAAAATATACATAGAACGAAACAAAAAAAAAATAAATACATCGAATAATAGTAGAAGATTAGTGGCATAAAATACAGGACGAATTTAGCCTAGCAAAAAGTAAAAAATTACTACTCATTTTCGTTGTTTTCTTCATCTCTATGTCTCTCCTTCATTTTTCTCTTCTTGTCCATCAGTATAATTCTCGTGTTTTTCTCCATTTTCGTTATATGAGTCGTTTTCTTTTAGTTCTGGTTGCTGTTCTTCATATGGCTCGTTCTCCATTTCAAAGCTAACATTATTATCATTATTGTTTTGGTCAGCCTTCAATTCATTTGTTTGTTTCGATGGCCATTCATTGTTTAATTGAGAACAACAATTTTCGATAATTTCATGTGCAGCCATTAAATACTTTTGTTGTGCCTGGCGCACTAAAAGAAAAGAAATAATCGAAATCCAATGGGAAAATATTCTTTTTCTTAAACGAAAATAAACTATACATCAGTATTCTCATAATAGTTGACATATAAAATAGCCTAAACAGGTGAACATTGCTACTATCATTTCAAAATAGAAATGGAGCTCGCTGTATTTTTAATAGTTTTTCAACGAAAAGTTACGTAGACCTGTGGCTTTTGCCGCTTGATAGAAGAGAGACTGCGGGACATCTTTCGTTGAGCAAGACAAGTTTCGAAATCTTTTTGAGTAGGATTTTTTTGTAGGATTATTCCTAATTAATATTGAAAAATTCACAATTTGCTCAGAAACAGCTAAAAACTACAGGATACGGTTGATTTTGTGCACTGAACGTGATAATACGATCAAGAAAATTGAAGAACCATATTATTGTTCGACGATCTTCTAGAAACATTTTGGAAGGACCATAGGATTTTATAAAATTATTTGTCATCAATAGGATACAGAATATCCTAAATACCGTAGACCAAATAGTTTTTAGCTAGGTCTGATGTTTTTTGAATGAGTCGTGAATTTTTTAATATTAGATAAAAACAACTTGGAAACACTACACGGTGTAACATAACCTTTTTCTCCCCCCCTACACGACCTAAAGGACAGATAATATCAGAAAGTATTTATACCAGGTTAAAGCCCATCAAAAACTAGATTTATGAGTGTAATTGATATTCCGTA